ATTACCCGATCATATATATATATATGCATACATATATATAAATAGAGAGATATATATTAACTCAAAAACTATACACGAAAAGAGCAGCAAAAGACGAAATATAAACATACAAACACGCGCTCTTCTGTATAATCAGTCAATAACAACTGGTGATAATAAAAGAACTTACAACAATAACAACAACAAAGACGCTTACAACAACAGCAGCAGCAGCAAGAAGCAGCTTAAACAAAGAAGCTGAAGAGTGGAAGAAAAGAAGGCGTTCATCGTGTTGATATCATTCGAGTATTTTTGCTTAATTACACGATCAACCAATGGCTGCCTATCTGGATCCCACTGGCCAATATTGAGCAACGATCTTTGGAATCATTTCTCGGCTGTTTAAGTGACATCAATCTTGAAATATGGCCGCCTATCTAGATCCCACGGGTCAATATTGAGCAAGAGCTAAGAAACTTCCAAAAAAGCTCAAATAAATTCATATATTTATTTGCATTGAGAGAGAATTTGAAAATATATCACAAAATGTCGCTGGCTTTGGATCCCACTGGCACCTACTAGGATCAGTTGAGAATATCTGGTCACAGTCTTCCACTTCACACTCCATAAGTCAAGTAGAAGCAGCARCAGCAGCAACAGCAGCAACATGTTCGATCTGGATCCCACGGGCACCTATCGTCGGCCGCGTGAGTCGCGTGACACGCGACACAAGCAGCGCCAGACACTGGACCCCACCGGGCAGTACTAGGGCCCCGCCACGGCCACATTTCCACACCGCCTTTGCCTTATCCAAAAACAAAAACAAAACACAATATTCTGGACATGATTGGGGGCGCGCGTTGGTTGCGCCTGCGTGGCCGCGAGGAGACATCCAGCTGCCGGCGCCGCAGAAAGTAGCCAACCTAAAATCCACAAGAATTATTTACTATTATGCATAAATTATTTATTATTATTATTATGACTTGTATTTAAAACTAAATAATTGTTCATTGAATTGTTCGTTCACAAACAAATGAGAATCGATATATATCAAACAAAAGCTGTTTAGCTCCAATGGCTATACATATTATCCTATATCATACGCACACTCACACTATCACACTCACACACACATTCACATGCATATTTATATATATTATTTTTATATTGGCCTTAAGTTTTGCAAGAGTTTTTTTGATTTGCACGCTTAAAGTCTAGAAAGAAATAAAAAACTTTGAAAATTATTTTTATATATTTATCTATTTTGTGTCTGAAGAAAACTATGCAAAAAAGTATTAAATTTAGTGTCATATTTATTAACAAAAAGAGCGAAAATTTCACCTGTTGAAAACTCTTTTCAGAGAACAAAAATTTTTATTATTTATACCAATTTTTCCAAAAATTTTTTGCAACGGTTTTCGTGAGTTCCATTTCTTTTATTTTTTTTGTGTAAAAATTTGAGAAAAGCGTTTTAATTTTAATCATAAACAATTTGTAGCCTTTAAGTATATGTTATTTATACAAAACCAACAAAAACAACACAAACAAACACATAAAATTATAATATTAAAAGAAAAATCATATTTAAAAAAAAATTCAAATTGCAGTCAAGTTATTTTCTATGGGCTATGCTGGGCAGCAAAATACCCTACAGGCGCATCAAATTGTCGCATTTAATTATTCGATTTTCCACACAGCCTGCGAGGAAGAAAGAGAAAGAGTGAGAGAGAGAGAGAGAGAGAGAGAGAGAGAAAGAGAGACTTGCAGTTTATCCTAGGGCTTGGGCGCAGACAAATTGCCGCTGGTGGCCATAAAAAATGATTTTCCGAACGGGCAGCGCATATTTGATGAATCTGTATGCATTAATTAATGTCACTGGGCGGTCGCCGCCGGCTAAAATGGCGAAATGATCAATAGAACAGCAGCAGCAACAACAACAGCAACAACAGTGGCGAGAGAGCGAAACGCGTGCATTAAATTGCATGCGGAAGTAAAAGTTCAATGTTCGTTTGTGCTCCACAAGTGATTAGGTCAATAATAACAAAAACAAAAACAAAACCAACAACGACTGCAGCAACTACAATAGCAGCGACAGTAACTCACAATGCATCTCTCTGTCTTTCTCTCTCTCACTGACACACTGACAAACACGTATTCCGTGTGCCTTACACGCCATGCGTATGTACTCAGAACTGCATTCTGAGCGTGCGGGAGAGCGCAAAAGCTCACACTCACACTCAGCGTTGCGCTCTGTAAGCTGCTGCAACAGGAAGTTCACATATGCAGCAGCCGCCGTCGGCGTCGCAGTCGCCGTCGCTGTTATCGTTGTCGTTGCAGTCGCCGCTGCAGCAGCGGCCGCACGACGCGGATATATGTATATAGTGCTAAAAATAGACACGTTAGCTTTTCGGCTGAAGTTCAGGGAAATCTACTGAGCGTGCCCGCAAGCGAACGAGGGAGAGAGAGAGAGAGAGAGTGTGTGTGTGTGTGTGTGTGTGTGTGTGTGTGTGTGCGGAGCAGCTGTTTCCACCAAGGTTGGCCTAACGGAAAGCTCTCGCGTTTTGCATTGAACAAAATATCGAATAAAAAAAAAAAAAAAAAAATTATAATAATAAAAAAACAAATAAATAAAAAACAACAGACACAACAAAATAATGCAATTAATACAAGCAGCGCACATGAAGTGTAAGCGCATTGAGCGCTTGATCGCTTGAGCGTTTGATAGCTTGCTGATCGGCGTGATCATTGGGTTACAAGTTTCCCAGGCCCACGTCTTGACCCAGTTAAAAGCCACAAGCATATTAACTTGTCATTTATGGCACCCTCAAAAGCAGCCGAAAAATCAACATAAACAACGACGATAACCGCAAGCAGAACTTTCTAAGTGAAAGTTGGCTTGGGATGCAGCGACTAGAAAAGTCTGCGCAGCCCGCCTACCGCAACTGCCCGCTCCCCTGCTCCTCCAACACCCTTCCAGCCCATCTGACTAACTGACCGACTCTGGAATTGTCTGTACCAAATTGTCAGCGTCCCACACTCTCGCACACACACACACACACTCACACACGCAGAGCGAGAGAGAGATACTCACCATATAACTTGACCTACATTTTTGCAAGACAATAACAACGAAAAAATACACGCATACAAATACAAATTTTATATATACATAAATATATGTATGTCGGTATGTATGAGAAAAGAAAAAGCAAGAAATTTCCAACGGTACCGGGCTGAGGCCTGGCGCTGATTCAATGTTTATGAAGCGGTTGGGCTACACAGTTGCCGCTGCCGCTGCCTCTGTTGTTGTTGTTGCTGCTACTGCTGCTGCCGCTGTTACTCCTGTTGTTGTTGTGCTTTCAAAAATTATTATCGTAAAATTGATTTCATTGAAGTTGTCGACGCTGCGCCGCTGCGACGCGACGCAGTCAGCGCTGCCTTTGCACGCGTCTTGTACCACAATTTTGATTTTTTTGGTTTCTGTATATTTTTATGTGTATGTATTTTATTTTCGTTTATGTATTTTGATAATTAGGCGAAAGGTGAACAAACTCTACGGAACAACTGGAAGTTTATTTGTAGTTGTTGTCGTTCGCTATTGTTGTTGCCGTATGTTGGTGGCACGGGCAATTGGTATTTTTTTGTTTTTTTTATTTTAATTATTTAATTTACACATTTTGTAGTAAAAGAAATCGCAGTTGATCCAATTTTGAGCCAAAAAGAAATGCCAAACTTTTGGAAGTAGGATGTAGACTTTGGTGAGATGATCCAAATGGGTGGAAGTTTTTTTTTTTTTTTTTAGATCTATATATGCAGTCTCTATTATGGACTTTAAATATGAGAACAGCTGTATTATTTATAGCTATATATTTATATATATAAATTTGTACTGGGGTGCACGAGAAATTATACGCTTTACTGGTCGCTCTAAAAACTATACTTTTCATTCTGTTTTTATTTTAAGAAATTATATTTCAATTATTTTTATATGCATACCTACATGCAATTTTTATTTTCTATTTTCAGAATATATTTTCTTACATACATATGTATTATATATGTATTTATATTAAATGTAAACGTATTTATATATTTTTTATTTTGGTATATTTTAAAAGTATTTGAACACGGATCTTCTCATAAAAATACTTTCTACTCGACGATCGGCTTGGTGCAAAGCTTTCCAGTCATTTACCATTTCTCACTATTTCTACTTGCATTCGAGAAAAATCCGTTAGGCAAAAGCTGCACGCTGCAACTTTTGCCTGTCATATCCCAATAAAAGTACCCAAGAAAATACCAACAGAAAAAAAGTACCAAACAAAGTAGCAAAACTAAAAATCAGTCAAAATATAAACAGAAAACACTCTCACTGCTCTGGGCAGGCAAAGGTCAATGACATGGTCCAATTTTTCGACAACTAATGTTGTTTTCATTGTAAACGCCAATGAAGACGACTGCGGCTCAAGAGCAATGGAACAGCAACAACAGCAGCATCAACAACCGCTGAAAACAAAGTCAATTCACTTTCTATTCCAATGAAAAATCGCTCAAAGCTCGACTCCAAAATCAACAACAGTAACAACGAAAGTGGCAGACAACAACAACAACAACAACAACAGCAGCAACAACTTTTGAGTTTTGGTATCAACCTGGTCTTGGCTTGGCCAGCAAATATCCATTGATCTTCGGCTTTTAAGTGGGCAGCAAGGGGGTATGGAAGAAAAAACGACGCATGCCTCATTAACAAAGGCAGCGGGACGAGGCGCCGCAGCAGCAAAAGCAACAACAAACAACCCCAACAACAACTTGTACAATTTGAAAGCGATTTGAAAAAAAAAGACAACTAACAAACAGCCAAGTTGTTGTTGTTATTTGACTTTAACGGTTTCCGTTTTTTGTTGACTGTTTTGTTTGTTTAGCCAGCAGCAGCAGCAACAGCAACAGCAACAGCAACAACAACAACGACAATTGTTGTTGCCGTTCATTTGAATAACTGGTGAAAATTTCACCCAGACAAGTGCCTTTTGTTACATATCTACAAATATGCCATAGAGACGCACATAGATATGTTTTCTTCAGTTTCAATTTCAGTTTCGGTTTCATCTCTCGATGCCTCAAAAACAAAAAAAGAAACAAATAAAAAATATAAATATGGCCTGGTAGCAAAAGTTTCTCCTAATTTGCAAATATTGTAGCTTAGCAAAAAAAAGTTGTTATTGACAGATGTTTTTTTTTTTTTTTAGTTTTTCTGTTATTATTTTCGCATAGTTTTACAGCGACTCACGTGACGTCTGTTACATTTCTGCAAAACTTTGTCTTAGTCATGTCTCTGTCTATACATATGTATTTCAGTTTGTCGAGAGTGGGCTTTTGATTCACCACGGTGCGTATGCGCAATATGCAGCTAAATGGGTCGCTGTTAAGTGCCTGTTGGGTTTTTACCAACTGGCCAATACGCAATTTGGCCAGCTGCCAAGCCAATAGAACCCGCTGAGCTAGGGACTTAATAGGCCAAGAGGCCAACACACATTGAGCTAAGCACTTCTTGGGAAAAGCGCAAAATGAAAAGTGAAAAGTTGCCAAAGCAAATTGTGATCGCTGTCGTCGTCGTCTTTTTCTTTGTCTTTGTCTCTGTCTGTTGGCCACTTTGCTTTTGCCAATTGCAAATTACGTGCCATAAAAATCCCAGTGACTGACGTTCATGTGGGCTGGTACGCCAGTAGCTGCACCCCCGCCACTCCCGCCTCCTGCCGCTGCCCCTTGAGCAGCGCCCACGCCTGTCGCCGTTTGTCGAGTGTAACTCGCACTTTCACG